AAATTTAATTTTTGCATGATATCTGGAAGGGAGATCGTCACATAATTTAGCCAATGAAATCAAATGTCCACTATGCTTGGTCCTGGCAGTTAGATGAGTATTAATGGAAATATCATTTGTTTACGATATATATACTTTAATAATTCCTTAAAAATTGCATTACATCCAAATTTAGATTACATCTAGCGCTCAAATTTTTTGTTGGTAATGCATCTATTTCAGCAAAAGCCGAATTTGTAATTAATCATAACAACTATTGTATATTGACCATTGAGGTCTGTATGTTCTTGATTGCTTGATATATCCGTATTTTTGTTAACTCTACTGATCTTTTAATAGGATAAACATCTAGTTAACGTTAGGCCAAGCAATGACTATGGGGAACCACAAATATTGGCTGAAATTCTTGCTTGTGGGGAAGAAGATGTGTTGAGCTTTTATGAATCGTGATGTGATTATATTTGCAGTTCGTGTAATTTCAACATACGTTACATTTTATCATGCTACAATCCCTATAGGATATTGGGATGAACTTGGTATAGGTTGCCCACGACAGCAATCACTTACAATTTTTAAATGGCCAGGGAATAGTAGTGATCCACGTGTTGGTTTTGATCTTACAGAACCAGACAGAAGAAGAAATGTATCAGAATCATTATGCAAGTTTCATCAATCCACCTTAGAATGAAAATCTATTATAATGGCACAGTATTGTTGGTTGGGGCTAATATTAAAACAATAATTTTCTTTTAAGAACCTAATAAAGTTTTACCTTGGCAAATTTCAGTCATATGGTTTTTTATGATGTAGCTTCATTGAAAATTCATATATCTGCACTTTATATAAAGTTATTGTCAATCATGCAATCCGAACTTGATCAATTGAGATAAGAAAATGCCAGATGATTTGTGAATTTTATTACATTATATAGACATTGATGGTCGAGAATTTTTTCTGAAATAAAATATACAATAAAGCAAATTATCTCAACGCATAACTTTTTAGACGAAATAATATATTAGTGCCTGCACTTTACAGAATAACTCCTTAAAATTTGCCTATATGACCCTGCTTTATTGATATATAAAAAATGTCATCGATCAAGCAACAACATACAAATAAAAAAACTTAGTTACATGATGCAAATACACATAAAAATTAATTTCCAGGAGGTAGATATATAATAAAATCTGCATTTCCAACATTATCGGATTGTTATTTTAAGAAACCTATTTTCCGCTTCCATTAATGTATAAAATCTCTAGAATCATTTGGAGAAAGTTCAGGATTATCAGTAGTAATATTAAATTGATTCTTAATTTTATCTTTAACATCTTTAACTTAGTCGCCCCACTTCATTTTTATCATGTGGGTAGTAGTTGGATTGTAACAGATTTTAAAGTTGATTTCAAACTCATTAGCCATGAAAATCAAAGGCGCATTATAGACAATATACACATATCTTAAAAATAAATTGCAGGATTTAAGAAGTAAGCTTGTTTTCTGAAAAATATATGAGCAATGATATTTCTAACCCACCTTATGAGCCAATATGTCTTTACTTTATATTGTTTATTCGTTGTGCTCGAGAACCTGATAGAAAAGAGAAAATAGCATAATGATATCATAGAAAAATGCTTTTTACCTGAAATTAACGGAATTTCTGCTCATAAGGCAAGTCTATTGTGTTGTATGTGCCAAGAATTAACCCTACTACTACAGTCTGACGATCGTTCTTGTAAAATGCAAAACTTGACAATCTTGGATATGGCAGAGATCTCAACTCCCATAACATACGAAATATGATATTATTACTGATAAAGAACAATAAACTCTCCCTTCCATGACCTTTTTGAGTCTCAATAATAGTTGTCCTTATCAAAAAGCCATATATAATAAGAAAAAGGCTTCATTAGCGAAGCTAGTATGGCTAATACTATAATTCATAAAAATGATAAAATAATTTAGTTGTAAATTAATCTCGTGATAGAAAATAGAGCTGGTATTCAAATATTAAAATGTTTACATTTTAGTCTAATCCATATACATTACTTTTTGTGTTTTCATGTGTCATCGAGTTAACTTGACTATTATTAAAAGTTCATAGAACATGTAAAAGATCAGTTGATATATTTGTGCGATTATATCCAAGGGATCTCAAAATTGGATTAACTATACATGTATAGACTAGATTATTAAAAGATTTTTCCCGCTTTATATCAACTAGAATTTACACAAAAAATGAATTGAGCTTTTCTTAACTTATAGGTTAATAAAATCACATATAACACATTATAATCATTAAATTTATTATAATTGCTAAATATGTCAAACTCAAATATCACTATTATATTGGATAAAAAAAATAGAACATTACCTAAGCCCTTTAATAATAGACCAGGGTATGATATGAAACATGTTGCTTCATATGTCTCAAAATATGCTGGTTTTGAATTTAATGAACTCTTTGATACTTGTAGATAAAGCTGCACATGTGGACCATTCTATGGTTTTGAAATTCGTCACATTTGAAGAAATGCTCTCACTTGCCCTAATTCATCATCCCAGGGTCCTTCTACAACTTGTTCCAGCATATTTCAGTAGTGCAGGTAGATGTGCAATGAGTGATTGCTTGGCATGGCGTTGCCATTTCATGCAAGTGGGTCCATTTGTCTTTGGTCATTATCAGGATATTTCTTTTTGAAAAAGGAGGTCACAGCCCTCAAATTCGAAGGCAAGGTTATGGTTTTTGACTCATCCAGTATTTTGTGGCTGCCATAAGAGCTTTTAACAATCAAGTTGATGTTTCTCACAGTTCACATTTCTAGTGGTCAGTATCTGGTTCTGATTTTGAAAAATTTTTCTCTTCTCAAGCATCAACATGGCTAGTATAAATACAAACAGAACCTAGCTATCTATTTAAGGTGGTATTTTTTAATGTACTCATTCCATTGGGGAAAACATCAAAGCTTCCAGATCAGGGTTTCCAAATAAAAGCAGGAGTTTGACATTGTTTGATTCAACAAAACCCACAATCAGTCTACCATAGTTTGTGTCTTTGTTATGTATTTCTAGAGGAAGAATCATTTGGGACAATCAAATCTGGAGGATGGGGAACCTCTTCTGGAAGTTGACTGCAATAGTGGTTCAACAAGTTAAAATGTTTTAGATATGGGTGTAATTTTTATTATATTTAAATTATTCAGATTAAGGTTTCTGGTCCAAACTGTTTTCTCAAAGCCCAAACTAGTTTGGGCAATTTGGGCTTCTCAACATTTTT